ATAGAACACTGGGCCTGGATTCAAAAGGACCTGAGTTCAAATCCAGCCTCAGACAAATAACATTTAGTAGCTCTGTGACTCTGGGCAAGTCACTTAACCACCATTGCCTAGCCAAAAAAAAAAAAAGGTTTCTTTGTATTCATAGTACCTAGCTCAGTGTTTTGTATCTAACAGAACATCAAGCTTGTTAGACTGGTTAGCTATCTGGTTAGTTATTGAGGTAAATAGGGGGTGCAATGGATAGAGCATTGGGCCTGGAGTCAGGGAGACCTGAGTTCAAATCTGACCTCAGGTACTTGCTAGCTGTGTGACCCTGGGCAAGTCACTTAACCTCCGTTTGCTTTAGTTTTCTTATCTGTAAAAATAGGGATAATAATATCACCTAGGGTTTTAAGTGAGGATAAAATGAGGTAATTATAAAGCACTTAGCACAGTGCCTGGAATATAGTAGGTTCTATATAAATGTTTATTATTACATAAATTATCAGCAGCAGCAGCAGCAGCACCATCATTATTGATGATATAGCACCTAGGGGCACTCCCCCCACTAGTACAATTGAACCCAGAGAACAGCTGCTTCAAATTAAAGATATTCCGTGGGTCCATGTCCATTCAAAAGCATGACAGACAAGCCCCCACTGATGCATTACTTTTTATAGTCTGCCAGATGACAGAATCCAAAATAAAGGCATTTAATTCAATAGTATAGTAAGAAAAGTAGCAATAAAACATTTATGACCCAAAACTTGAGATGAACTTTCCTACAAATACTCACTTCATTAGTTTGAAAAACAGGCACTCATAGGTGATATATGTAGAGAGACATGTGTAGCACTGACACACATGTGAAGGGGCACAAAGGGAAAACAAATATCCTGGGAGCACTTGTGCCTGGGGAAACATGCTTTTGACATTGTCAGACCGTTGACATGTTCTGGGGAAGCCATGATATTGCTATCAGTGGGCCTGCTCCTTGTTGCTGTGACTTGGTTTCAGTCTCTCATAGACATGCTAGTCTTTGCTTCCTACTTGTCTTGAATGGTTACTGCTCAATGTTGCACTTCTGGTTTTATGACCCCCATTTTTACTTAGAAGAGAAGTGAGCTCCCCTATCACTCTTTTGCTTTGGAGCCCAGAGAGTTTGTTTATCTAACTAAAACTCTTTTAGAAAATGCAGAAGCCCTAACACGCTCTATCGTTGAACTAAGAAAAAACCTTTCCCATAAAGAGTCTGTTTTTTCCATGTCTTGGCCAGAATAAGAATTTACTCTTCAGAATGAGATTCCTTGCCCCCTGGATTCCCATTCTTAGGAATTCAGAGAAAGGTTGATTCAGGTTATTAGTACCTTCAGATCTATTTTTTAACTATAATTTCTAATCATTAAGAGCCAATGAGCTCACTCTGAGTCAGGATTAAAAATCCACAAAAATCAAAAGTGAATAATAGAAATTTTTAAACAATTAAGCATGGCCTCCAGGAAGACATATGAAAAGAGATACACACTCTACTCATTTGTAGAGATGGGAAGTCCACAGGAATGGAATAAGGCATACATTTTCAGACTTTTTCAATGTGTTAATTGGTTTGGCTACCTTTTTTCTTCTTTCTTTTTTTCTTTAAAAAATTATTTGTTATATAGGATAGCTCTCTGGAAGGTGGAGAAGAAGAGATACAGGGACACATTTTGGTAATGTGAAAATGTAAAATTAAAAACTATTGGTAAAATTTATTTAAGTATATTTTTATTCATTTCATTAAATATTTCCTAATTACATATACATATACATATTCATTTTTAAAAATTTATAGTCCCAAATCCTCTTCTTCCCTCTTATTTCTCCCCTACTTTTTGAGAAGACAAGCAATATGGTATTGATTATACATGTGAAGTCATGCAAAACATTTCCATATTACCTATGTTGCAACATACTCACAAACAAGAAAAATAAAGAAAATTTTAAAAGTATGCCTAAATCTGCACTGAGTTAATCAGTTCTCTCTCTGGAAGTAGATAGCATTTTTCATCACAGGTCCTTTGGAATTGTCTTGGGTTATTATTTTAATCAGAGTAGCTAAATCTTACAGAGTTGTTCATCCTTGAACCACTGCTGTTAAATGTTCTCCTGGTTTTACTCGCTTCACTTTGCATTACTTCACATAAGTCATCCCAGGTTTTTCTGAAACCTTCTTGCTCATACAGTACAACAATATCCCACCATAATCATATGCCATAACTTGTTCAGTCATTCTTCATTTGATGGGCACCAGTTCAATTTCTAATTCTTTGTTACACACACATACACAAAAGCTGTTATAAATATGTTTGGACAAATGGTCCTTTCCCCTTTTCTTTTATCTCTTTGGAATACAGACTTAATAGTGGTATTTCTGGTTTTGTTTGTTTCTTTGGTTTTGTCTTTTTGGTTAGGGAATCGGGGTTAAGTGACTTGCACAGGGTCACACAGCTAGTAAGTGTCATGTGTCTGAGGCCAGATTTTAACTCAGATCCTCCTGACTCCAAGGCTGGAGCTCTATCCACTGTACCACCTACCTGCCCCTATAGTGGTATTTCTGGGTCAAGAAGTATGTACAGTTTTATACCCCTTTGCGTATAGTTCCAAATTGTTCTCCAGAATAGTTGGACCAGTTCACAACTCCATCAACAATGCATTGGTATACTTCTTTTTCCATACACCTTTAAGCATTTGTCATTTTTCTTTTCTGTCATATTAGTCAATCTGATAGGTGCAAGGTAGTATCGCAGAGCTTATATTTCTCTAATCAGTAGTGATTTACTGCATTTTTTCATGTTATTATTGATAGCTTTGATTTCTTCTTCTGAAAACTGCCAGTTCATATGATCATTTGTGCTTGGAGAGATAAAACATTATTTAAAAAAAAAGGAAGTCGATATAACTCCCTGCTTAAAGTTTAATTGGTAAATTGCTTTTAGTCTGGACATGTAATTTGAGGTTACTCACCTAGCAAACTGCCAAGGGCTTTCAGGGTTCATCAGAAATAGGGAAAATGGGAGAAGGGGCAGGATTTGAAGGAAGATTGTTTGATATACAACTTGGAAGAACTGAGTTTGCATAATTTACATAAATTTGCATAAAACTCTCACAGAGGGTCCTAGGGACAGAAACCCAACCTACTGTGCTGCCTCTGGCACAAGGCTTTTCCTCCTCTCTCTTTCCCCACAGTTCTCTGCACTCTCGTCCTCTGGAATGCCTCTGTAGTGTTACACTGTACCTTGACCCCAACATAATGATGTCATTTTGGTCCTCTTCCAGAATGAAGGACAACAACCAATAATTATCTGTATACTTAGTACCCATGTGAGTACACGCTCTATCCCCTGGGAGAATGTAAGTTGCTTGAGGATAGGGACTGTTTTAGTTCTTTATCTTTGAATCCCCAACACCTGGCACGGTGTCTGATACACAATAGGACCTTAAAAGCTCGTTAAATTAAAATCAAATAGAATTAAAGAGTGCAAATTCGAAAGCCTTCCAAGAAGTTGCTAGAAAGTTAAATATCCGATCCCTGATAAACTATTCTGTCAAAGCTAAATTGCTGCATAACCCCCACGTCTTCCTTTATAGTGATATGTGTGTGTGTGTGTGTGTGTGTGTGTGTGTGTGTGTGTGTGTGTGATGCACTTCTTCATTTCCTCATTTGCTAGGAGGGGAAGTAAGATTTATTGCAAACATGATCTTTCTCCCATATTTTTCTCATCCTGCTGTGAATAAGGATATTCTGAGAGTCTTTTGAGGATGCTTAAAATTGTGAAATTCTCAACTTCATTTCCCAAGTTGAAGAAAAGGAGAGTGATATGTTCATTTCTCTTCTGCAGACTGGCTTCAGATCTCTATTATGATTATGATTATGACTATGGTTGTGATTCCAAAAGAGGCTGTACTCTTGGATTTGGAGTCAGGAAGAGCTGGACTGAGTTCAGTTACTGCTTTTGACATCTTTTAGCTGAGTGACTCTGGGCAAATGATTTAACCTCTCTGGAGTTCAGGCATCTAAGTCTTAGAGCCATTGACTTCTTTGGCAGTCTTGTGAAGGCTATGGACCCTTTCTTAGGACAAAATGTTCAAACACACAAAATAAAGTAAATTGGGTTGCCAAGGGAAAAATATATTGAAATACAGTTATTAAAATATTAAAAACAAAACAAACAAAAAAGAAATCATAGGTCTCAGGAAATTAAGGACCCTCATTTGAAAACCATGAATTAGAGATGAGTTGCTATTTCACTGGGGGTGTAAGTCTTCAGACACTTAATGCAAACACGGAAAGTGAGTAGGTTTATCTGGTTATTCAAAGTCTTTTTGTTTGCAAGAGGCACTGCTATTTGGGGAGGAAAAAAGTTTCTCTGTTGAGTTGATGAACTTCCTAATGATTTGGTTCAGTAACTGCTCTAGAAAGCCTTTATGGGTGGACAATAACTGTAGCGTATGACTCCAGGGAGAGAGACAAGGATCATGGATTTAAAAGTAGAAAGGGCACTCACAGGCTATCTATCCAAATTCTTCAGTTGCTAATTAGGGAAATAGGTTTAAGAAGGGGGGATGGTTTGTTTAAAGTTTTATGTGTGAGCTGGCAGCACCATGGATAGAGCGCTGATCGTGGGATCCAAAGACCTGAGTTCATATTCATCCTCAGCTACTTCCTAACTATGTGACTCTGAAGAAGTCATTTAACCTTTCTTGCCTCAGTTTCCTCAACTGTAAAATGGGAATAATAATAGCACCTACCTTCCAGGGTTGTTATGAGGATCAAACGAGATTATATTTGTAAAGTGCTTAGTCCAGTGCCTGGCACATAGTACGAGCTTAATACATGCTTGTTCCCTTCCCTTCCTCTGGAACAAGTTAAGTGGGAAAGCTGGACTTTTGAACCAAGGTCTTTTGATTCCAACTCCAGGTATCTCTCCCCTCTCCCTTGTAGTGTATTGAAAAGAATACTGTATTTGGAGATTCAGGAGTCTAGGACCATGGCCCCATCTCTACCACCAAACCAGCTCTGTGGCAATGACTACAACAAGGTAAACTGGAAAAATAAAGTCATCCATTACAATGTGAGCTCCTCAAGGGCAGGGACTTTTTTTTTTCCTCCCTTCTTTTTATCTTTCTTTTTTTTTTTAGCACTTACTGTCTGACATGTAATAAGCTCATAATAAATGTTTGTTGAATAACTGACTGTCTGACAAAATAAATGAAAAACTGAAAACAAAACCAAAGTCTATGTAGTTGTAATGATCAAATTTGGTCCCTGAGATAAGAAAACACAATTCCTTAACAATCTTGCATATTTGAGGGATTATGAGTATGAAATCTTGTATACAAGCACTCCTTATTTTATGGTACTTTGCTTTATTGCACTCCATAGATATTGCAGTTTTTTGTTTGTCTTTTTACAAATTGAAGATTGTGGTAGCCCTGTGTCCTGTGAGTCCACTGACACCATTTTTTCCAATAGCATGTGCTCCCAGGTAGTGTCACATTTTGGTAATTCTCACAATTATTGTCATTATTATAATTGTTACGGTGATCTGTGATCAGCGTGCTTTGATGTCATTATTATAATTGTTTTAGGGTGCCACAAATCTCCCCCATACAAGATGGCAAACTTAACCAATAAATGTTATGGGTGTTTTGACTGCTGCACTCACTAGCTGTTCTGTCTCTCTCCTTCTCCTCAGGCCTCCCTATTTCCTGAGACTCAACGATATTGAAATCAGGCCAATTAATAACCTTACAATGGCCTCTAAGTGTTCAAGTGAAAGGAAAAGTCAATCAGTGCAGCAAACATCATTGTTGTCTTATTTTAAGAAATTGCCACAGCCACCACAACCTTTCACAACCACCACCCTCATCAGTCAGCACCCATCAAAGCTGAGGCAAGACTCTCTATCGGCAAAGATTATGACTTGCTGAAGGCTCTGATGATGGTTAACATTTTTTAGCAATTAAGTATTTTAAAAATAATGTAGATACATTGTTTTTTAGACATAATATTATTTCATACTTAGTGGACTGCAGTATAGTGTAAACATAACTTTTATATGTTCCAGGAAACCCAAACATTCGTGTGACTAACGATTGTGATATTCACTTTATTGTGGTGATCTGGAATAGAACTTGCAATCTCCGAGGTGTGCCTGTGTACATACTGCCAGGCTTTGGTTAATGTGTTAGTTTTGCTGAACTATTTTTCCTTGTTCTTTTTTTTTTATCCTTTGTTATAGGTCTGGCTCCCCGAGCAGGAGAGAGAGAAGGATGTAGTCAAACAGACAGATCATAGAAAAAGAAATCAATATTTAAAAAAAAATCATCAACTAGCCACATGACCTTGGAAAGTCCCTTCTCTCCTTTTGCTTTCGTTTCCTTTTCTGTAAAAGTGAAGGGCCTAAGCTCAATGACCTCCAGGTTCAGTCAGTTCTCCCATCCTAGGGCCTGGAGGAGAGATGTGTATCCGTTAAACAACAGTCCTCCCAAGTACTTTCTCATCTTTCCCAAAGCTTTTAAAATCTCATGTCTTTGACACCCAATTCAAAAGGCCTTCAATCTGTGAGCTAAAAAATAACACAGACCATCTTGCAATGTCAAGTAGTAATAGTAGTTGGGTTTTTTTTAAGTATTTTTTGGTTTCCTGCCACTAAGAAAAGGATTCAGCAAAGTGAAAGATGCTTACCCCAAATGTATGGCACTGAATCCTACTTAGGTACTGTCTTTTACTGAGGTTGTAACTGTCTTAAATGTTTCAGCTATTAATTTTCTCTAGAGAAATTGCCTTGCTCAGGCCCTGGGTGGATCAAGTGACTTGGTGTGAGTGTGCAACCATGGGAAGCGAGATTGACTAATAAGAATCTGTGCAAATATGAATGATGGTTCCTAAATGCGCAGAGTTGAAAACTTTTAAAGACATTTTAAAATCCTGACCATACTTGGGCAGCATTGGTCTCAGGAGATTCCTTGTTAGATGTAACCATAGGCATGTTTGTTCAATTAACCTCTTTGTTGCATAAATTATTTGAAGTAAAATTTCTATTTCACAAATAGTTATTAAGCACTCCTATGTGCCTAACACTGGGCCAGGGCTACAAATGTCCATGCAAATCCATGCTGATAGGAAGGGATAGGTAAGTACAAACAATGTGAAATAAATATGAAGTAACTTGGGGATGGGGAGGGCTTGTCATTTGGGGATCAGGAAAAGTTTTATGTAGGAGGTGGCACTTGGACTCGCGATTAAAGGAAGTTAGGGATTTCTAGAAGTGGGTGATGAGCATACATTCCAGGTATGGGTCACAGCTTTGCAAAGGCCCAGAGAGCAAATATGGAGGACACTATTCAAGGATCAGTGGAGAGGCTAGCTAGAACACAGAATACCCAAGTAAGACAAAAGCAGCAAAATCATAGAATCATACACCTAGAAGAGACCTTCAAGGTCATCTAGTCCAAACCCTTAATTTCACTGATGAGGAAACTGAGACCCACAGAGGGTAAAGTAACTTGGGCAAAGCCACACAACTAGTAAAAGTCATAGCCTGAATTTGAACTGAGGTCCAAATTTAGCACTCATTCTACCACATCAGACTCTGGGACCTTGAAGGTGCACCAAGGATACTTGGAACTGTCATGTACAGTGCTGAGTACAAATGATAGAAGGATGCTTCACAGATGGTGAAGTTCTCAAGGTGTTCCTATTGGTGACTGGTATCATGTTGAGTACACTGAGCCCCAGAATATTATGAGGCCTTGTCAGTGAGTTCTATGACCTAAGAACTCATGAAGGTAAAACTAATTAGATAAAATATATCCTTTGAAAGAAGTAGCAAAGTGTAATGGATAGAGTGGTGGCCTTGGAGTCCTGCATCTGACTCTTATGACCCTGGACAAGTCTTTCAATCTCCCTGAGCCCGAGACCTCTCCCAAAGACTTGCCTCCTAAGTCATATGTGGATGGTGATCTAACTTCTACCCTAGATTCTTCTGGCACTGATTTCCACAATGGCTCCACTAGAGAAATAAAGAAATGAATGCTCCGTGAACTGCCTAGCAAGGCTTAAGGATGCTTTTCTTTGAAGAATTCAGAGATTGTTGTCTCTACATTGGCATTATTTTGTATTCTCTGATTGGAATCACCATTCAGGCTTTGAGATCCAATCATATCCAATTTTTTCAATCCAATGTGTAAACACTGTAAACAGTATATACACAGTGTATACTTATTCTTGCAGGGGGAGATGGATGAAAGTACAATTTTCTCCTAAGAGCTGACCATTTTAATGTTAGCATCAATATATTTTACTGCCTTCATAAAATGTTTAATGAAAGTGTGATAAAAAATGAAGAGTGGTTTGATTAAATAAATAAGCAAAAAAAGTTCTCCTGGTGCCAAGGGATCATTTTTGGGTCTGATGCTTGAAATGAACTGAAGTCAGAAGATAAAAGTACATTTGAAAATTACTGATTTAGTACATTATTTGTCATCTGTGATAGAGCAGGATCTGGGGAGTAGAGGCTGTTTCTTTATGTACATATAAATTTGAAATTAATACAAGAAGAAGTAGAACTTTTTTGGTCAAGGGGGTATATTAAAGTTGGCTCTCGAGATCAACATAAAACTGGTGATAAACAAATGGCAAAATTGTTCAGTGGCTTTTTGAAGACAGGACTTTTTCTTTTCTTTTCTTTGTTTTGTTTTTCCTTTCCCAACATTTTAATCACCTGGCATTTTTTAACCTCTGAAAAATTCTTGAGAAACACCAAAACAAATTGAAATACTTGTTTCCAGAAATGTTTGTGAAGGATTTGTTACAGTTTGGGCTTTCCCTACCACTGGACTCAAGGAAAAATATCTTTTGAACTTGAAAACAAAAATAATTTGAAGGGGAAAGTGACTAACCTAAGTCCTTTTCATTCTTTGCAGATGGCCTGTGAAATAAATCTGGCTTGTTCCTTTGGAAATGTTATAGCATCAGAAATTGACATTGGCAACAGATACATGGATAGATAGATAGACAGACAGGCAGGCAGACAGACAGACAAATAGAGAGAGAAAATTTTAAAAAAGAATTGGCACTGACTCACAAATAATTTCAAATATGGCAATGGATTGGTCACTTTCTTTCACCCTTCTCCAGCTTCAGTGATTGGGGACTAGGAATTTAACTTGCTGTAGCTAAAAGACAAGCAGGGAGAAAGATAGTAAGGGTTGACTCACTATTCTAGGTGCTAGAAAGACAAGTATGAAGAATGAAACAATCTCTACTTATGAGCAACTTACATCCTAATGGCACAGATAATAAGTACTTCTATGAAAGTGGACTGCATTGAAGCAAGCTGAATCCATTCAAATACAGACAAAGTAACCAAATACAAGGCAGTTTGGGAGAGAACGAACAAGCAACTGGGGACATCAGAAAGAGCTTCATGCAGAAGACAGTGCTTGAGCTGTGTCTTGCAGGAAGAGAGGGTAGCTTTGAGGCAGAGGTAAGGAGGAAGTGTACTCCCAAAAGGACTGGAGATGAAGTGCTGTGTGTGTGTGTGAAAGACAAGGAGAGGGACAGTTTGGCTCAGTCACTGAGTGTAGGAGGGAGAGTAATGTCCATAAGGTTGGAATGCTAGGCCTGGGCCAGGTGGTGTAGGGCTTAAAGAGAGTTTATATCTGAACCTAGAGGCAATAGCAACTCACTGTCAGTCAATGAACATTTATGAAGTGCCTGCTATGTGCCAGGCACTGTGCTAAGCTTTGGGCATATAAATAAAAGGCTCTGCTCTCAAGGAACTCAGAGGCTAATGGAGAAGACAACATTCGAACATCTATTCACAAGCAAGATACATACAGGATAAACTGGGGGGGGGGCGGTATTCTCAGGGAGAAGACATTAAGATTAAGGACAAGGAAAGGCTTCCTGTAGGTGGGACTTTTTGCTGAGACTTGAAGGAAGCCAGGAGGAGGAGATGAGGGAGGAAGAGCATTTCAGGTATGAGGGACAGCTAGTGAAAATTCTTCCAGTTAGGAGGTGGTGTGTTTTATATCAGGGACAGCAAGGAGGTCAGTGCCACTGGATAGCAGAGTATGTGGAGAAGAATAAGGTGTAAGAAGAGTAGAAATATACAAAGAGCTTTCTTATACCTTACCTATGAAGGACTTTGAAAACTGAACAAAAGATTTTACATTTGATCCTGTAGACAGTAGGGAATCACTGGACTTTATTGAATAAGGATGTGATATGGTCAGCCCTACATGCATTTTAAGAAGATATTTAACAGCTGAATAGAGGCTAGATGGAAGTGGGGAGAGATTTAGGCAGAGAGGCCAACCAGAATGTTACTGCAATAATCTAGCAGTGATAAGGGCCTGCAGCAGGGAGGTGGCACTGTCAGAAGAGAGAAGGAGGTATAGCTAGAGATGTTACAAAGATGGAATCAGTAGGACTCAACCACTGAGTTGATATGGGGAATGAGAAAGAGGGAGAAGTCAATGATGACAGCTACATTGCGAGCCTGGGTGACTTAGAAGGATGCTGGTATCTTCTATAGTAAAAAGGACTTTAGGAAAATGAAGAGTTGGGGAAGACAATGACTTTGATTTTAGACATGTTGAGTTTAAGATGTCAACAGGACACCCAGTCTGAATCCTAAAAGGTAGTTGGAGATGTGAGAGTAGAAGTTGGGAGACAGGATAAGTAGATTTGAGCTCATTAAGAAGAAAAGTGAAATTGTCAGCTCTATGTTTAAGGAAAATTACTTTAGCAACTGTGTATGGGATGGCCTGGAGGTTGGGAAACTAATCAGGAGGTTGCAACAATCCGTGTTGGAGGTGAGGAGGGTCTGAACTGAGATGGTAGGTATGTGAGAAGACAGAAAGGACTGGATGAGAGAGATGTTGTCAAATAAAAATGGGGAGATTTGCCAATCAAGCGGATATGTAAAAAAGGTGGGGAGAGAATATTCAGGACATTCTGGGACCTGCATAAACAGGTGTTCTTGGTGATTTGATGAACAATAAAGGGGAAAAAATGGACTCCCACAGTAGCTCGGATACTGCCTTTAAGACTAGAAAATAATGAAAAGATGAGATGAGCCAGTCAAGTCGATCAATCAATAAGCATTTATTAAGCCCCTACCATTTTCTCCGCATTGTAGATACAAAGACAAAGCATGAAACAACATTTGCAAGAAACCTGAATTCTAATCAGTAAGTACTTTTTAGCTGTCTGTTTGTGCAAAAGATGGTAAAAGACTGCCTCTTCAATCCTGTCTCCATTCCCTCCTTTGCAGCAATGTTTAGAGCAAGAGGCTTAGAGAGAAGAGGTTTAGAACTTAGATGACTTAGGAGACAGCCTTAGGATACGCTTCAGCATTTGTTGGCCTCATAACCCGGACGTGGAATTTAATCTCTTGGAAACTGAGATTGATAATATTATCTGTCATGTCTAATGGATAGGGCTGTTGTGAGCACTGAATAAGACTGTGTTTATGAAAGTACTTTGAAAACCATAAAATGTTACAAAAATAAGAGGCACTATTACTCAAATCCTGCCCACCTTTCATTTTGATAAGTACATGTGTGGCATAATATCATATGTATTATGCATCAATGTTGTTTGTGGATAACTTTCTTGTTTTTTGTTTGTTTCTTTGTTTTTGGTGAGGCAATTAGGGTTAAGTGACTTGCCCAGGGTCACATAGCTAGTAAGTGTCAAGTGTCTGAGGTTGGATTTGAACTCAGGTCCTCCTGACCCCAAGGCCAGAGTTCTATCAACTGTGCCACCTAGCTGCCCCCTGTGAATAACTTTCAAGGCAGCATTTTGCTATATCAAATCTTTTTTTTTCTTTTTATGCAATCAATGAACATCATACAAAACAGAACTTGGTCAATCTAGTAACTGTGAGATGTGATCTATTGTAGGAAATCACTTGTCAAAGCCTGCTCTGCTCCTTTCTTATATTTTCATCAAGGGCACCCTCAGGGTGTACATAAAACATTCTTGTAAAGACAAATATGGAGATGAGAAAGCCAGCACCTGGGTTGGCAGTCGGTGATGTCCTCTTGGTTGCCTTTTTTCAAAGTAATACAGTTCATGATTTTTTCCTATTCTTTTATTATTTCCCCTCTTTGAGGCATATTGAAAATTGATTCCAGAGAGGTAGTATAATAGAGGTGGAGGACAAAGTCTACATTTTCAGGCATGGTCAATGTGTTGCTTTGTTTTGTGTGCCAGTTAATTCATTATGGGAAGGTTGGGGAGTGGAGTCAGTGTTACAAGACAATTATGTTGGTTTTTTTTTAAAAAAGCATTGATAATTCTTTTCTTTTTTTAAATAATATTTTATTTTTCTCCAATTACATGTAAAAACAATTTTAACATTCATTTTTTAAATTTTGAGTTCCAAATTTGCTCCCTCCCTCCCTCCCCTTTTCCCTGAGATAGAAAACAATCTGATATAGGTTATACATGTGCAACATGTAAAACATATTTCGATATTAGTCATTTTGGGGGAAGAAAATTCAAACAACAAAAAAAAGAAGAAGAATGTAAAAAAATAGTATGCTTCAGTCTGCACCAAGGCTCCTTTAGTTTTTCTCTCTAGAGGCAGATATTTTTCATCATAAATCCTTTGGGGTTGTTTTTGATCATTGCATTGCAGAGAAGAGCCACATCATTCGCAGATGCTCATCATACTATAGTGCTGCTATTGCGCACAATATTCTCTAGGTTCTGCTCACTTCACTCTGCATCAGTTCATCTAAGTCTTTCCAGGTTTTTTCTGAGAGCACCCTGCTTGTCATTTCTCATAACACAATAGTATTCTTTTACAATTGTATACCACAACTTGTTCAATCATTCTTCAGTTGATGAGCATCCCCTCAATTTACAATTCTTTGCTGCCACAAAAAGAGCTACTATAAATATTTTGTACAAATAGGACTTTTTCCTTTTATTTTTTAATTTTTTGGGGGGGATACAGACCTAGTAGTGGTATTACTGACTCAATCAGTTTTATAGCCCTTTAGGCATAGTGTCAAATTGCTCTCCAGAATGGTTGGATAAGTTCACAACTCTACCACTAGTGCATTTTCCCAAATCTCCTCCAACATTTATCATATTAACCAATCTAATAGCTATAAGGTGGTCCTCAGAGGTGTTTTAATTTGCATTTCTCTAATCAATAGTGATTTAGAGGGGTTTTTTATATGAACATAGATAACTTTAATTTCTTCTTCTGAAAACTGTTCATATCCTTTGACCATTTATGAATTGGGGAATGATTTGTATTCTTATAAATTTGGCTTAGTTCTCTATGTATTTGAGAAATAAAGCCTTTCTCATAGAAATAAAAAATTTTCTGCAGTTTCCTGTTTCCCTTCTAATCTCGGCTTCATTGGTTTTGTTTGTGCAAAACCTTTCTAATTTGATGTAATCAAAATTATCCATTTTACATACAGGAATGCTATCTTTTATTCATAAATTCTTGCCTTATCAATAAACTTGAAAGAAAATATTCCATTCTCCCCTAATTTCCTTTTGACCCTTTATGTTTAAACCACATACCCATTTTCATCTTATCTTATTATAGACCAGCATCTGGTATCTGCCAAACTGTTTTCCAGTTTTCCCAGCAATTTTTGTCAACTAGTGATTTCTTGTCCCAAAATCTTCGATCTTTGGGTTTGTCAAACACTAGATTGCCATGGTCATTTAATGGCCTGTGTATTGTATACTGAATATATTCCACTGGTCCACCACTCTTTTTCTTAGCCAATACCAGATTGTTTTGATGATGACCACAGTGTAATATAGTTTGAGATCTGGTACTGCTAAGCCACCTTCCTTCACATTGTTTTTCATTGGTTCTCTTTTTATTCTTGACCTTTTGTTCTTGCAGATGAATTTTCTTATTACTTTTTCTAGCTCTGTAAAATATCTTTTCTGGTAGTTTGATTGATATAACACTGAATAAGTAAATTATTTAGGTAGAATTTTCTATTTTATTATATTGGTTCAGCCTACCTATGAGCAATTAATAGTTCTCCAGTTGTTTAGATCTGGCTTTATTTTAGTGAAAAGTGTTTTGTAATTGTGTTCATAAAGTTCCTGGGTTTGTCTTGGCAAGTAAACTCCCAAGTACTTTGCATTGCCTGCAGTTATTTTAAATAGAATTTCTCCTTCCATCTCTTGCTGCTCAATAACACACTATGATACTGAACAATAGTCATAATGGGCATGATAGTTTAACCCCTGACTTTATTGGAAAGGCTTCTAGCTTATTTCCATTACACATAAAGCTTGTTGAAGGTTTTAGATAGATACTGCTTCTCATTTTAAGGAAAGCTCCATTTATCCCAATACTTTCTAATGTTTTTAAGAAAAATGTGTTATATTTTGCCACATGTTTTTTCTCCATCCACTGAGATAATTATATGATTTTTGTTCTTTTTGTTATTGATATGGACAATACGTTAATAGTTTTCCCAATACTGAGCCATCACTACATTCCTGGTAGAAATCCCACCTGGGATAGTGTATTATCTTTATGATATGTTTCTGTAATCTCATTGCTAGTGTTGTATTTAAAATTCTTGTATCAATATTCATTAGGGAAATTGGTCTATAATTTTCTTTCTTTGTTTTTGGTCTTCTTGATTTTGCTATCAGCACCATATTTATGTCATGAAAAGAATTTGGTAGAACCCCTTCCCCCCATTTTTCAAGTAATTAATTGGTCTTTAAGTGTTTGGTAGAATTCATTTGTGAATTCATCTGGTCATGAGGATTTTTTTTCTTAGGCAGCTCATTGATGGCTTGATCAATTTCTTTTTCTAAGATAGAGTTATTTAAGTATTCTATTTCCTCTTCTCTTAATCTGGGCAATTTATATTTTTGTAAATACTCATCCATTTCACTTATATTAGCAGATTTATTGGCATATAATTGGACAAAATAGCTCCTAATAATTTCTTTAATTTCTCCTTCATTGGTGGTGAATTCATCCATTTCATTTTTGATGCTGGTAATTTAAATTTCTTTTTTCTTTTTCTCTAAAAATCAAATTAATTCTTCTTTATTTTATTGTTTTTCCCCCCATAAAATCAGCTTCTAGCTTTGTTTATTAGTTCAATGGTTTTCTTACCTTCAATTTTATTAATCTTTCCTTTGAGTTTCAGGATTTCCAATTTGGTGTTTAATTGAGGATTTTTAATTTGTTATTTTCCTAGTTTTTTAGTTGCACACCTAATTCGTTGATCTGGTTTCTATTTTTTTGATAAGCATTTAAAGATATAAATTTTCACTTAAGTAGTGCTTTGGCTGCATCCCATAAATTTTGGTATGTTGTCTCATTGCTGTCATTCTCTTTAATGAAATTATTTATTGTTTCTATAATTTGTTTTTTACCCCACTCATTTTTTTTTGGCAAGGCAATTGGGATTAAGTGACTTGCCCAGAGTCACAGTTAGGAAGTGTTATGTGTTTGACACCAGATTTGAACTCAGGTCCTCCTGACTCCAGGGCTGGTGCCCTATCCATTGTGCCCACCTAGCTGTCCTCCTTCCACTCATTCTTTAGGATTACATTATTTAGTGCAAAATTAATTTTCAACCTATGTTTCCCTGGCAATCTATTGAATGTAATATTATTGCATTATGGTCTGAAAGGAATACATTTAATATTTCTGCTTTGCCGCATTTGATTGTGAGGTTTTTATGCCCTAATGTATGGTCAATTTTTTTTTGTGAAGGTTCCATTTACAGCTGAGGGAAAGATATACTCCTTTCTATTCCTATTCAGTTTTCTGCAGAACTTTATCATATCTAACTCCTCCAAAATTCTATTCACTGCCTTAACATTTTTCTTTTTTCTTTACTTTTGTTAGATTTATCTAGTTCTGAGAGGGAAAAGTTGAGGTCTCTCACTAGTAGAGTTTTACTATTTCCAAGAAGTTTACCTTCTTTCTTCCTTCCTTCCTTCCTTCCTTCCTTCCTTCCTTCCTTCCTTCCTTCCTTCCTTCCTTCCTTCCTTCCTTCCTTCCTTCCTTCCTTCCTTCCTTTCTTTCCTTTCTTTTTTCTTTCTCTCTCTTTTTTTTGTTTACTGTTTGTTTCAAAAGTGAAATTCCAAGTGTTCCTTGGGAGGGTCGGGTGGAAAAGGAGGGTGGGGTGAGAAGATTAGAACAGATTCCCTAGTGCTTCTTGTTTAA